AWTTTTTTTTAAAAGTTGGGAAGGGCTATTCGAATGTTAGGCACTTTCAAAATGAACCAAGGTAGTTGAATGTTGCTAGAAATTCCTACCTGTGCCAAGTCAACCTCGTCCTAATTCTGGCCCCTAGGACCTCACAGCCAGAKGTGGGAGGAGAACTTCCCCCAGGATTCCCTCCATGAGAAATACCCTTCGAGGTTTCAGACRCCTCCTCTTGTAGTGTGATTCCAGGACACTTCGCAGCCCTTCATTCCTCTCCCCTAAGCCATTCCACCTGCCCGATCCCCTGTGAAAAGCGATGCTCAGAATAAATCGCAGGACTCAGGGTCCACCGGGGCACATCCTCTGCCTCCTGCCCCTTGCTCAGCTAACAAGCAGAGGTCAAAGAAGCCCCAGAGCAATCCATGAAAGGGGAGAATGCCAAGAGCTGCCGCCACGTCACCTCGTCCCCACCTGTCAGGAGCAGTAAACTTTGGATTGCTAGGTCTTAAAACATCCTTCAGCTCTGGAAATGTTCCTGCAGAGGAATAAATAGGCTTGTGCATGTTCGCTTTTTACCAGCTTTTGGTACCCCCTACTGGTGAAATGGTGTGACCCACAGAATCTCAGAACAGCTAGAGAAAAAATTCCAAGTTCAGAAGGTAATAATAAGTACTTGAGTCTTGAAGGCCCCCAAGGAGTCCATCCGATCATCCCATGAGTTGTGTGATCACTTTATGAGGATTTTTTTTTCCAGCATTTTATACCTATGGATATTCTGTAGGCTGGGGGGGGGTGGAAATTCTGATATCTGTGAACATTCCATTAATTCTGCAAACATTTCCAGAAGAAAACGCTAAGTTATTAATTAAAAGTATTCCTAGGTAGCAATATTCCAGGGTAAAAACTGATTTTTATGTAGTTTTTTTCCCCCTTTTCTTTCCTTGCACGTATCTGCTTTTTAAGTGGTTATAATTTGTGTCCAGAGCAGTAAGGCAATCCTCTACACTTCAAATCATAGACTTTTAAATATAAATCTGTGCAACAAATCTATTGAACACGGGCTCTGTGCCAGACACCTAGCAAGAAACTGGAGTAGGTGCAGAGAGTCAAAAGCCCTTCTCCCAAGTGGTCCTGGCCCAAGTGGGTGAGAGAGTGGAATTACTGTAACTTGAATAGAGTGCTCAGCTGACATGCACCTAAGACTCCCTGATGCCTGATGTCCTGTCGGGTCCCAATCATGTTTGAGCTCTCTCAGAGCATCAGATATTTCTTCCTGGCCTTCTCCCTTATCTGTTCAATGCCTGTTGTTGCTGTTAGTCTCTGGGTTCTGTGAGGGTCAAGGTCAAGAATATATGATCTTCTTAATGTCTAGCAGAGACTGATACACATACATGCTCAATAAATATTTGCTCAATGGATGAGTCAGCCAAGAGCAGGAAGTTACAATTCTATTAGAGAGGAGCAGGGCAAAGCCCAAAAGAGATCTGACATTTGAATAACACTGAGACTTGGAGGATGAGGAAGAGGTGGTCCTTAGAAAAGAAGGGGACTCCRGAAGGAATAATTGTATTGAGTATTGGGTGTGTGTATGTGTTGGGTGGGGGGGTAGCTGATGTGTCCTAAAAGGAGGTATGTGTGGAACAGAAGCCTAAGTTGAAGTCTACAATGTAGTTTTAGGGTCTTGAATACCCTATTCACAGGTTTGGGTTTTCCTCTCTCTTTGAAGGGAAAAAAAAAAAGAGAAGTGGGATAAATTAAACTCTTTTTGGTACTGGGAATGAATACCAATTTTCCTGTGTTACTGACAGTATTTTTAATACTTAAATTTTGGATTCTGAAGGAATAGATAGTGCCTCACGCTAGATTTCCTTGCCTTCTTTATGAACTCCGTTTCCACCTTGTAGTTGTGTTCACCTCCTGCCAAAGCCCCTGGGCAGCATTCTCCTCACCTCGATCATGCAGGAGCSGTCAGCTGTGGAATGTACATGAAGGACACTGCTGTGGCTGGGCCTGAAGGTCCACGAGTTAAAGGCTTGGATTCAGTGGTATTGGGAGGTGCTGTGGACCTTGAGGAGTGGGACCTGGAGAGAGGTCCTTAGGTGGTTGGAGGTGGCCTTTAAATGGGCTTTGGGCATCTTGGCCCATCCAGTTGTTCTCTTTGTTTCCTGGCTCGTGAGTTGAGCAGTGTGCTCCACCACCCTCATCCCCTGACGTACCTCTCCTGCTCAAGGTTCAAAGCAATGGGGCCACAGAAAGAGCCTTCAGAACCATGAGCTGAAATAAACCTTTCCTCTTTGTAACTTAATCATCTGAGGTATTTCATTATAGTAATGCAGATCTGACTAATGTACATGTCATGTCTGAAGTTTTACAACTCAGCTTTCTGACTTTTAAATATCTACGTGTTTCGGAGAGGCTCTGATTTTTATTGTTTTCAATATAGGTATGCTGAACTACCCAAACATTTCTATAAAATGCCATTTTTCAGAAAATCTGTGAGGCCTTTTTGTTATTATTATTCCTTTGGAAACCAATGATTTGTGCCCAACACAACCCTCTCCATATTATTTTACCCTGAATAGAATGAGATTGGTTAGGAGCTCTGCCCCAGAGGAAATACCAAGCGTTTGATACATACTCATTTATAGTTTTAAAGTTAATTCTCTTATCGGATTTTCTTTTTATTTCCTGCTGGGGGAATGTGAGCAGAGCTCAGATAGAGGCAAAGGATATGCTGTATATCTTTTCAAATTTATGATTAAGAAGGTCACATATACATTTTTAAACACACTCCTTTTTGATAATAAATGAAGAATAAAATTTTGAAATGTCATCAGGAGCAGAATTACTCASTTTTCTTTCCTTGGCGCGCGCCCTGCCTGTTGATTGTCTGACGGTGATGAGAAGGGACCCTCCCAGGCARTGATTCACTGGTTGTTTTTCTGTCTGCTGAATAGCTGCATGGGAAGAACAGGGTGCCTGTGGCCAAAGCATTGCAACCAAAAAAAAAAAAATGTGTTTCTACTCTTGAGTGCCCTTCTTTCCCCGGGCCAATTTTGAAAAACTAAATAAATGAAGAATTCCATGGTAGGCTGCATTTGTCTTGAAATTATGGCCAAAATGGAGGAAGGAAAAGCTTTTCTCTCCTTGGTATGAATTCTCAGGATTCGCTCTCTACCTTTCTCTGCTCTGCTTTCTGCTTCCAGAGCACATTCTGCAGGGACTCCCTCCAAGGGGTGCTTCACCATCTCTGCCTCATAATTGGGCTCAGCTAGTGATAACTGCTGTATGGGATCAGAGGGAGCGGGTTGGGTGCAGTCAGGACACCTTGGCCTCTGGTTCCTTCCTAGAGGTCACCTAGCACTGGCAGGACCCCTCAAAAGACAGCCAAGGCTCTTGTCCAGTGTCTCCCCTTTACAGTTCCCTTCTTGTGCTTCCTCTACTTGTTCTTCTGATCCACAGGTACAACGGCTCTCCTGTGTGTGTGTGTGTGTGTGTGTGTGTGTGTGTGTGTATAAATCTTTTTTTACATTGGGGTTCCCTGCATTCTTTCTACTTTTGCCAGTCACCCTTTTTATAAATAGATGCTCCTCAAATCATCCCTATATGTGTGTGTGTGTGTGTGTGTGTGTGTGTGTGTGTGTGTGCGCCATCTGTCATTCTCTGCTGTCTACACCTAGATCAGGGACCCAGGTTTTAAGGAGTTTACTACCAAACTGGAGTTGATATTGTATGAGCTCTAAAATACTTTTGCATCTAGGTTTATCCTTTCTTTGAATATCACCTCTCATTGGGAGATCATTACCTCTTGAAATGCCCTATTTTATGAGCAGATGGATTCAACTTGGGAAAATTATTCCCTATTTTGCACCAAGTCTGACCTCTCTGGACACCCGTTCTTTCTGTGTGGCTATAGGAATAACCACAATTGAATTTGATGCCAGGTCCTGTGAAAAATGGAGCAAGAGGCCTGGAAAAATTAATCCTCAAGATATTTAATGTTTAACCTAGAGCTTTTCGTGTGATTAGAATAGAATGACAACATTGAGATGCATATGTGTTGCAAAAACCCAGAGAGACCATGTTGACTTTTTAGAAATATTTGAATATCTGTTATATGCAAGAAGCATTAGTCATATTTTTAGATTTCTAATGAAATATCTAATACCTATCAGTTAAAATTTAAGGGAGGTAGATTTCTAATCCATAAAAGAAGAACTCCTTAACCTTTCAGTTCCCTGGTGAGGAATCAAAGTCTCCATCCTTTGATATAATTCAGGGGGAGATGGTATTCCACAGTGGGGCTGTTGGAAAGGGAATCCAGACACTGAAAGGCAACTCAAGTCTTCGTAAGAACAGCAGCTTCCAGGCATGGACTGCTCCCCATGTGCCAGGCACTGTGCTTTGTGTGTTTTACGAACCATTTCACTTATTACAATGCTGTAAAGTTAGTTGGCCACAGTGTACAGAGGAAGGGTTCAGGTTTCAAAGAGATGAAAGAACTTGCCCTGGATCATGCAGCTGGCAGGCAGCAGAGGTAGGATACAAACCAACATCTGCCGGATGTCAAAGTCAAGAGTTTTGCCCTCTGGTGGTTGGTGTCAGAATCACCTGGGAACTGGGTGGCCATACAGAGGTCCAGGCTCTATCCTACATTCATGAGCCTGAGCCTCTGTGTACTTTTTCTCAGGTGACAGAGAGGCCAGACCAGCCTGGCCTCTTCCTCCTCTAAAGGAGAGTGGAGGTGGCGTCGTACAAGTCTCACTGRCTTTGTGCGCATGGTTTGGATAAGGCGGCATGCGTTCATGCTTCTATTACATGGAATCTACTAGTTGTTATGGAGCACTTAGCTCTATTCCACCTTGAAAGTGGAGGGCCTGGCTTAGCTTTATTTCTGGAAAATAAGCCAAGCGTGATAGTAGAGGAAGGCAGGCAGGGAAGGAGGGTAATCTATCTTTCCAATGCTTTATTTCAACTGGCACCATCTGACTGTGATTTTTTCCCTTGCACATGTCCCAAAGGAAGCTGGCCAAGAAGCAGAAGGAGACACAGAGTGGAGCCCAGAGGGAGATGGGGCCTGTGGCCTCTGCGGACAAACCCACCACCAAGCTCAGCGCCAGTCGCAATGACGAAGGCTTCTCCTCCAGTTCTCAGGACGTTAACGGATTCAGTAAGTTGAGTCCACTAAGGGGAAGGTGATATCTAGGTCCGGCATGAGCCTGGTATTTCTGCTGTGGACCCCTCACAGTGCTCAGGTACTGTGAGACCCGGGGTCAGGATGCTTCCCTGGGATGGTCCAGGAGGAAGGTTTTCTCCTGCAGAGCCCTGGGGCAGCCCCTTCCAAGGAGAAATGGAGTATTTAAGAATACACCCCAAAGTAGAAAGAAATGGGACCAAGTCATCCTAACTGCTTGTGGGCCTAAAGAGAGATGGGTTAAAAATGATAATAGTAAAAAAGGAGGAGGAGGAGGAGGAGGAGGAGGAGGAGGAAGAGGAGGAGGAGGAAGAGGAGGAGGAGGAGGAGGAGGAGGAGGAGGGGCCCTTAGAGAGAAAAATATGCCACTATGAACTGAATTTTTAAATTTTCAAACTGTTTCACACATATGGTGTAAGGTAAGTGAGTCATGAACTATTACTGTCCTTGTTCTGGATGCTCAGGAAAGGGAGGCTCAGAAACTGTCTCTCCAAAGTCCCTTGGCTGATATCAAGTCCAGACTGGAAGACAGACCTCTCAAGCCATGGCCATTTCCAAGTCTTGGCCAACAGACATGTGACATCTTGTCAAGATTGAGTCCTCATGCAAAGCTAACAAAGGACCCCAAGCTAATCTAGGTGGTTAAGACTTCATGGTCAGCCCTATCCAAAGGAGAGCTCCAGGACTCTTGACCTAAGAGGCTGGTGTGGTGATCAGACGGTGGYATTCGCTCTTATCTTCCAACCATGCTGTAAGCTTGTTCTTTCCTAGATCTAATACGCTAGTTACCCCAACCTCTGCTCCAAATAGGGGAATGCAGGAAATCTAAAAGGATATTTATCAGGGACAAAATTCCTCCATATATTATATAAATTGCAGGTGGAAGAAATCCCAACTTGCAAAAATCACCTTAGGTATGGTCCATTTGGGATGATGTGGATCTATGAGAAGATGAAGGAAGAAAGAAAACAAATATTTATTTACCACCTTCTGCACTTGCAGCCACTCTCGCTCATTTCATTCTCACCACAGTCTTGTAAGATACGTGTTATTATTGTACCTGTTTTATAGGTAAGGTATCCAAAGCCAAATGTGTTTGGTTCAACTTCCCACAGGCACACAGCTTGTCCTGGATGGACCCAGGTCTGACCCATGATTCCTAAGCTCAAGGGCAGCACAAACTCCACCTGGGAAGATTTCCAAAATACATGTACATGGTCTCCACCCTCATCCACTGAATCCAAATCTTGGGAATACAAGGGCAGGGACTGAAGGCTATAGATTTTTGTAAAGCTCTTCAAATGGTTCATTTTTCAGCATTTGCACTTTTGTTCTCTCTCTCTCTCTCCAATTATCTGAACAATTTAGAAGTTCACTTCAGACATAACACTTCACCTGTAGAGAGATCAACAAGTTTCCTAAGAATTGGGACACTCTTCAACACAACCACAATAACAGTATCTTAACCAACAAGGGAAACTTGATTCAATGATATCCAATATAMCTATCCAGAGTCAAATTCTCTCAATGTCCCCAAATGTTCTTTATTGTTGTTCATTGTAATTCAGGCTCCAATCCAAGGTGCTCACACTGTGTTTGGTTTTCTTGTCTCTTTATCTCCTTTGCCTATAGAATAGACATCCACACTTTTTTTTCCCCGGGTTATTGACATTTTTTTTCAAAGCCTAGGGACAGTTTTCTCATAAAATGGTCTCCAATCCAGATTTGTCTGATTTTTCCATCATGATAACATTCAGGTTAAACATTTGGGTAAAAATACTACATATGCAATGCTGTGTACTTCCCTTTGGATCATACCAATAGACACGAGATATCACTKTGCCTGTTATTGACGATGCTAAGTTTGAGCATGTCTTAAAGATGGGTAATGGCTTTTAAAGACAAAGCCTAAGAGTCTACTGATTATTTTATGAGCAAATATTTAACATTTGCTTTCCTTGGAGGTCAGAGAAAATCTGTGGTCTGCTTAACCAAGCAACCAGTCCTTTTTCTACCTTCAGTCCAGGTGAACCACACATTTCCTAGGGCCTGGGAAAGGGGATTTTGATGTAGACCAGGAAGGGCAGAGAAGGGGCCATCAAATAAATAAGGTAACTTTTTGAAGAAAGGACCATTCTGAGCTCAAGGAGGATCCGCTGCACTGGACCAGCTCTGGCTCTGCTGCTTCTGGCCCAAGATAGAGAAGTTTGTTTGCAAGAATAACTGATTAAAAACACTGACCAACTATTACCTAGTTATGCTSAACCTTTCCTATACAACCAGCCTCTGCGCACACTCTTTTCCTTTTGTGGAATTGCCATGGGAGGACATTAAATGACAGAGATTATGGTCAGAGATGTATGTCGATCATTTTGGCTCTAAAATTATAGGCATTTGGTCTCAAGYTTTCTGATCTTAAATGAAAAACAACCTGGGTGACTAATTTCTCGGGTTTCAAAGGGAAATATCACCACTATTTTCACCATGCACCAAAACTTAGACCCTTAAAATGAAAACACCCAAGATGGAGATAAATTAGCTAATCAGAAAGGAAGAAGAAAAATATCCAGTGGGACCTAATTAGAGAGCTTAAAGGCCAGGGACAATCTTTCCAAATGATTAGATATCTATATGTGCACAGTTTATGTTTAAAACGCACACACATATACGTCTGTGTACAAACACACAGACATGTATACACAACCATATTATGTTTATATATGTTCTTTCATTTTAATAACATTACTTTTTAAAAGGCAAAAATATTAATTTTGTTTTTTTTATATACTCGATTAGTATGAAATGAAAATTTGCATGTATTTGAATCACTGAATATTTTAGAACCCTCTATGTATTTGGCGTCTTCAACTGCAGCTATAAACCCACACTGGGGATTTTTTTTCAATGCCCTCAAGTGCATCAGGTACCTTTTTAAATGCCCTGTGGAACCACTGGGATGAGATTTGAGGGAGAAAAAAAAGTAAGTACTGCTTACACTGGAGATGTAGAAATTGCTTCTGAAATCACCCTGATGTATGTAAAATTGAATCTATTTTTGTGACATTAGGGAAGTGACTGTCTGGCTTCTGCATCAGCATCTTTAAGAGGCCTTGAGATTATGTGCAAATGTTGCGCAGCACTGAGGGGTAGGGCCCAGGCAGGGTTGCTGCATCGGAAAAGAATATAAAAGAACGCGCTTTGAGCAATTAGTTCATTATTGGACAGGTAGGCCCTTGCCTAATTCAAATTCTGCCTTTTCCTGCACAGGTTCATTTTCTGGGGTTTTCTATTCCAAGTGACTGCTAAGTTGGGTGACATGTATTCAATCAAGGATCCCAATATTGTATAGGGACAATAACCTCTGGGCCTCAAGGGTGACAGAGGCTTTGTCTGGTAGGAGCTGTTGCTGTGGAAGCTTTGGCATTCTTTAAAAAGGAGTGTATGTCACATTTCAAGGACAAACAATGTGCATTGTTTCCAAGTTAAAGAAATGCTAGYTTTTATTAAGTAATCTCATTTGATCCTACAGCCCTGTGTACTTTTTTTTTCTCCCTCTGATCTTCTGTTCCCTGGAATCAGTWTCTGGGTCTTTCTCTGGGTACTCTCCTTATTTATCTGGGCTTAAGTCTTCTTCTTTATCTCTTGTATTCACATGTCATCTTCTCCTTATTCATTTTCAGTCCAAACAAAAGTGCTTCAGAACAAATCCCTGTTGAATCCTCTAACACCTTAGCTGTCTGCCCTTCTCAGACTGCGTGTGACCGACTCCCTTGTTGGCTGGGTACCATTAGTTAACGGTCTTTATTTTTATGCTCCCACTTTATTGAATCTTACAACATCGGATGTGCAAAGGCAAGCCATCTCCRCACATCCCAGACGTGGAGCCTTCCAACGCCCTGCTGAGTCAGGAAGCAGGCATGAATGGGGGAGGAGGTCTTAGAGGTGGGATTCAATGGCCATTTCCTCAGTGCTTTATACCTGGCTGCCAAAGGCTGTGAGTCCTGGGGCAGTTTGAGGAGAGTAGTTTCAGAGATAAATAAGTTTTAGCATTGTCTCACAGAAAATAGATTTTTCTGTTTACAAGTTCATCGTAGTTTACGTCCTTCTGCAAGACACATAAGCAACAGATCCTTATGCCTGTGTTGTAAAATGGCTTGTAGGGTGATTTTTACCCCCATTCTGCAGATGAGGAAACTGAGGTTCAGAGGGACTCTCCAGTCCGTATCACACAGGTATTTGACAAGTCATGATGAAGATCCATTTTTCCTGACATCAGAGGCTCTCCAGCTAGTTCTGCAAAGAACTGGAGGAAATATCCAAAAGGGGGACCTGAATAAAACAATAGAGGGGAATTGAATAACGAGGATCAGGAAAATATAAATGAAAACAATAAGATCAAGACAAGGATACATTAAAATGTAATTATATTGTAATTGAATCTCAATATGCAAGCTGGTAACTTTTAAATTCCAATTTGGCTCTGAGCTTTTTGTACCAAAAACTCTAAGAGGAGGATAAATTATATTGGATACCACTATGTGCCAAATCTTCTGCTTTATATAAATTCTATTCTTCAACTTTCTAGTGACCCTATAAGTTAGACATTATTCCCATTCTGAAAATGAGGACACTGGATTTCAGGGAACCCAAATAAATAARCTCCAAATCACACAGTACAGAAATAGCAGAGATGATGTTATAAACTGAATAGGGTTATCTGACCCCAGATCTGGAGTTCCCGGTTCTGTGCCATGAACAGTCACCAAGCACTCACCAGTGTCACTGAGGGAAGTCTGAGGGTCATGAGAAAGAAGAAGTCCAGTGCCCTCCCCATGGGTCAGCTGCCTCCACAGCTCTGTTCTGCATGGAGCCCTGGAACTGGGCACCCCCATGGAGCTAGAATATCAAAAAGGTGCTGGGCTCTGTGAGAAGCACCTCAAATAGGCATCTCAGTGTATCCCCCGCAGTCTACATGA